GTGTAAATAAAATGACCCCGTCCGTGTAATATATTTTTAAACTTTTAGTTTAAAAATTATAAAAATTAAACAGCCTACAGCATTTTTAGTCTTTATTTTACAGTTAAAATATATGTTTATTAAATAAAGTCTAATGTTACAACTAATCATGGATCCCTTTAAAGAAAAGCACATTTCATCTTGTTGGGTTTGTTTAGTTAAAGGTTTAATTTAAAAAAGCTTTATTTTTTGTCACACTCTTTCAGACCTTCCTCTACCTGGTGTGGTACATGCTCATGTCTCTGCTCGGACACTACAACAACTTCTTCTTTGCCTGCCACCTTCTGGACATCGCCATGGGTGTGAAGACGCTGCGCACCATCCTGTCCTCCGTCACGCACAACGGAAAACAGGTGACCCCGCCCCCTCCTCTGATACAGCCTGCTGAGGATSTTGATCCTCGATAACGTAGTGAATGTTTTTCTGACGGGTGTGAGCAGCTGGTGATGACGGTGGGTCTGCTGGCCGTGGTGGTCTACCTCTACACGGTGGTGGCCTTCAACTTCTTCAGGAAGTTCTACAACATGAGCGAGGACGAGGACGAGCCGGACATGAAGTGCGACGACATGATGACTGTGAGGACGGAGCCTCTCTGAAACCAGCTTCTTGGTACAGGCTGAAGGTCTCCAGCTGACGCCTGTCCCTCCTCCCTCACAGTGCTACCTCTTCCACATGTACGTGGGCGTGCGCGCCGGCGGTGGCATCGGCGACGAGATCGAGGACCCGGCTGGAGACGAATACGAGCTGTACCGAGTCGTCTTCGACATCACCTTCTTCTTCTTCGTTATCGTCATCCTGCTGGCCATCATCCAGGGTGAGCCGCTAATCTTTTATTTTACTTTACGTTTAGCTCATTTTAGCTTTCAGCTTGTGTTCTAGCATTTTAGCCTTTAAGCTTTTGACTAAGGTGCTTCTTTTAGCTTCAATCAGCTCTTAGTGGTCACTAGGGTTGTGTATTGGCAAGAATTTGGCAATACGATACATATCATGACAGAGGGGTCACGATACGATATATCCCGATATATTTCAATACTGTAAACAAGGCGATATATTGCGATTTTTTTTTTGTCCAAAAATTCTATTAAATAAAAACCTCTTACTGGGGAAAAAAATGAAAAACCAAAATTCATTGTCTCAGAAAATTCTAATATTACATAGACATACTTTTGATACATTTAGCTGTGTTCTGCTTTGTAT